CGAGTGATTGCCTTGTGCAGTCCCAAAACTGTGCATCACAGGATCGTTTTGTTTATTAACACCATGCTGCAAATGTGCCTGCCTGGCTGTGGAAATGTAGCGAATCTGAGCGTACTTGAAATAATTATCAAATAGAGGAAATGCAACACATACAGGTCAATTTATGCTCTCAGTTAAAAAGGTGTGAAATCTGGAATAATTCCACCAGAGCCAATAGAATTACTTCAGGCTGATATGAAGGACAGCACCACCAGCCTTAATAGGACGCATTTTAAAAGCAGGGCACAGCATCCTACAGCTAAGTCTGGGGGGCAAAAAGGCCAAAGATGGCCATCTCATGCCTCATTAAGGAGCACTCATAGGAAAACACAGCACTTTCTTTGCTTACATTAGACAGATTTCATCCGTGCACAGCAGACTTTGATTTTTCTAAACCAACCAGAATTTAAGATTGTGTGGAGAGGCTTAGGTCATAACTCTGTTGCTTTCCCTCTGGACAGATGTGAAATACAGAGGTTTAAAATGCATGCTCTGTACTTGTGTGCATTTGCATAGAGATGTAAAATAACCCAGAATCCGGTGATATTATTGCAAGTCTTAAAGCAATATCAATACTCACAACAGAATAAAACAACGTTCTGGTGAGAAACCTGTGCACAAAAACTAAAAAAGAAAGAAGTATCTTTTATCTTAAAAGAAAAACAACTCTGAGAAAAAAAAAAAAAAAAAAAAAAAAAAAAAAAGTGCTTTCTCCTGGAAACACACGAGATCTAAGAACAATTGCACCGTGATTAGATTTAAACTACTCCACCATCATCTGTAATCTAGCAATTTGGGGTACAGGAGGAAGACAGTCCTATTCATACGTCTGCCCAATTCAAAAGAAATTTTAACACCGTTTCACATAGCTGGAATTTTTAAGGGAAATTTTTAAACTCCCTGAGTTTTATGAGCTCAGCCCAGAGGTCTGCTCGGTGCTATTTAATATTCCTCCAGAGATTTAGAGGAGTTACAGTGTTGGTTCGCCTACCTGCAGGGCAAGAGGAAGAATGTTAGCTTGCCAAGGTTTTTAATGTGAGGAAAGCCACGCAACAGCACCTGATATACCTAAAAATCTTTGCCAAGTCCCTGCTATGAATTCCTCTCTCCCATAACTCCCAAACCTATGGATGTCCAGAATGCTGGTGGGCCATGATGATGGGCCAAGGACTGTGCCAAGTTATGGCTGCTTACGGATCACAGCATTCTTAAAACATGCCACGTCGTAGACTGAAAAATAACACATCACCTCTCTTCCAGTTTCTGGTACGCAGAAGGCTTTGCAAAGAGGAAAACATAACCGGAGCAATCTCTGTACTCCGGATTAACCAGAAGTTGATTAGGTCGATAAGAAGCATGGAGGAAACTTACCTAAGTCATAACAGTGTCTTAAGTGATAACTGGAAACTTTCATTACTTTAGTCAAGATTGTAACCAGACCAGACGGATCCTGTGTGCTTAGAAGTGCCCCAACCCCTTTCTTTGCACTGATCATTCCTGGCACAAGCAGCAGAATCCATTCCTTAGTACTAATATAGATGATGGAGGAGCTTAGTTTATTTGTGGTTTGTACACAAACTCATTAGGAAGAAATAAGGGAGGATCCATCATGCTTATTGAAGACAGTGCAGCAATGTAAGGAAGTCCAAATCTACGTAAATGCACACCTTAATTTGTTTTTTTAGACTCAATCTCGTCCACAATTTTGTGGAGAAAGTATGTGACCCCTCTTTGTCTGATCATACCCTTTTTAATTATGAGGGATTTTCAAACCTTTACCATCATTTTTCTTCACCAATCTCAATGGGAGATGATGAAATATTATACTACAATTGTTGTATGGAAGAAAAAAGTAAGAGTCTAATAAAATTATTTATACTTTTAGAGAATAAAACAATGAGACGTTATTGTCGTCTATGACCTTTCCTAAGTATGGGGATACAGCATCTTACACAATAGACTCTTGGTTCACGTTTCAATTACTGACCTTTACTGTGGAGAAAATTAATGCAATTTTCATCTTAATTCATCCGTACAAATAAGATCCATACGGAAAGATTTCCACATGCTGAATCGAACACAAATGGAAAATGTCAGCTGTTTGCTACCGGATGAATTTGACTGTAATTTGTTTGGCTAAGTTTTTTCAAATTGTTCTCGTACAAGTTGGTACCTATTTCTGAAAGAATTTCTTATATTGGGAATGAGGAATTCTTCTTTGGGGATTTTTTCTGCCCTGAGATGCTAAACACTTCTTGGAAGTTGTCAACAAACTTGGCTTGAAGTCACAGCATCATCTAATCCTTTCCTATTAGATCCTGTTAGTCAAGCACAGCTATGTTGGCTCACCACTGGATGGAGATCCTCACAGAAAAAAACAGGAATCTCTGCTGACTTATTTTTGTGTCTGATTTTCTTCAGACTCAATTACCAAATCTGGAAATAGTACTAAGTTTTTGTTTTGTTTTGGTGGAAATGCAAAGCTTTTTCCACAAAACTTAATACTATGAGCAAACTTAAAGACTCTTTCCAATCTGCTGCTAGCACACTCTTACTTAACAAAGTAGCTGTCTGCTCTTGAAGCTCCACAGTCGTTGTCAAGAGAAGAAAGAGGAAGAAAGTAAAATAAACAGAAACATTCAATGATCAGACAACTCACAATCTAAGCTGCATGCAACTTGTCTATACCACTCTACTGGTGGGCAAAAGATGTTTCAGCGACGTAATTTTAAAACAATCCTTCAGACAGTCTGACAGAGCCCAGAGCCGACAGGACAGAGCCTGAACTCCACATCTAAGATGGAGTGAATCCAAGAAGGCATTCATCCACCGAGCAGCTTGTGCCAAAGGGACACAGCTCTCTTATCTCTGTGACGGTATTTGGAAAGGGCAGAGGGAGAAACGATGGGGGATTCGGCAATTAAGCGCTGTCATTGAAGACAGATAGTTTAGGTGGAGGGAGTTAATCTGCTCACGGGTTTTTGAACTGAGCGTCTGTGTATTTATAATTTGTAAACAGTTCGTCTCTTAGAGGGTGTGTTACAATTCCCAGAAGCATGGTCTGTTATGTCTAACTTGCAGCAGAACCCAGAAAGGCAATGTGTGCGACTGTTTTGATACAACATGATGATAGGAAACAGAAACAGTGGCCTCATAGACTACGACTCAACTAGCAGATTTCAACTTTGGTTCTTGTATTAGGGAGGAAAAAAAAATACACAGACTTCTTTTCGAAGTATGGTTGTCTATTTAAATGTTGACATTGCTGTGAGATAATGTCATAAAATTACATATTTCTTACACTCCCTAGAGAGCATTGGCCACCCTCAAGCATGGAAAAGTCACTTAGAATAACCTAATGCACTTAAAGATGTGCACAACATGGTCTAACGCTGGGGCAAATAGACCCAGGATAACAGGAAGACAGTGAGGCAATGCTGCAAAGTGAGTGGCCTGGGACATGAGGAATGGATGGCAATTCTCTAGTAATTCTGTGTCTGAATCTCAGATATACAACACTAGTATACAAATTAATACAAGTTAGGAATTATTATTGCCATAATATTGAGATAAAAGCATTATCTTGATAAGAAAGCCTAATGGAGGCTTTCTTATGGAGAACAGAAATAGGATTGGCTACAAAGAATATGTTACACATTTAGGAACCGCACAAAAATACAGAGTCAGCATATGCAAGCACCTAACACTGGGCACTGACAAAACAATCAACATTCCAGAGATGCAATATTTATTGGGAAACAATGCAACTTCCATTTAGCAACTTCTGCTAGATACTGGTTCACTTAGTTGACCAATTTAAAAATGAGAAGAATGAAGTAAAAATGAGAAACTTATTGTGCATTGCAAGAATCCCTCAATTCATCTGGATTGTCTGGACTTCCAGTTACAACTTCAATGGATTTCTGTGATTACTGTATTTTGATGAGCAAACAGAAGAGCAGGTTAAATTTAAACATCTACTCCTATCAACAAGTCCGCTGAGCTTCAATTCTAGTGTCTGTGACTGAGAAGGGTTAAGGTATACTTTTTAACTGTGGTATTGATTTTCTTCACAACGATTTCACTCTTAAACCACAGAATATTCACAAAGAGCTTCTTAACTTAGTACACAATTTGAAAGTTTTGCATTGCCCTGTGAACCCTTCCTTCCCAACAGCTCAAGTTTCTTTGCATGCTGTTGCTTGTTAAATAATTCCTCACCTTTGAGCTCCTAAGTATTTATAGATTATCAGATTCTCCTTCTCTTACTTATGTTTTTTTCAAGCTGTATACATTAAATTCTCTTAATCTTTCTTCACATGTCATGCCCTCTAATCCTTTTATCATTTGTCACTGTGGTTTGATAAACTTGAAAAAAAATCCAATGAATTTTTCATAGTGAGCAGAATGAAGAAGTATGCTCTAATAAAATAAGGCCTCACCAGTGCCAACTCTTTCTACATTTCTGCTGAGAAACTAAAAACTTTTTTTTTTTTAAAGGTTCTAGAAGAAGTGTTGAGAAAACCTTAACCAGTCCTTCACAAATCACAACAATTCTACAGAAATGGAAATGCTGTATGATTTGTTGTAAGCCATTAGCGCAGAATGTTCATCCAACACTCCCAACAGAAGTGATGATGTATTTTATATACTCACCTTGTCCACCCTTGTCACCATACATGCTGGCACATGAACATATGTCTCACGATTTCAAGCATACCCTGGGCACCCCCACAGAATTCAAATGAAGTTCACAGGTCTCATGCAGGTAATGCCATTATTGAACATTGTACAAATCAACCAGCGTTCTCTAATTGTCAGTTTGCTGATTAGCAAACAGGTAACAACTGTTTTCCCAGTTAAAACAGGTAAGGAATGCAGATCTCATGGTGATAGGATGGTTAGTGAGCTACACCCACTTTCTTTCTGATTCTAGCTAAAATACCATAAGATGTATTTACCTTATCTTCCTCATCGTCATCTTCATCCAAGCCCATAAGCTCCTGCAAAAGCATATGTCCATATTAGAAGAAATTACAGTTCTCATTGACAAGCAATGTTCAAAAACCTCAGCATTTCATTACATGGTTTTCTATCACTTCTATTGTGAGTCATTAACAAACCCACAACTTTCACCTTTCTGAAATCATGTTTAGCTTTCAAGGACTTTGTTTTTTGTGATATCCTGAACAAAGCAGGCAATACCCTATACAAATTTTAAGTCTAAATAAAGCATTAGTGGTTGTGTCCTATCATTTGAAGGCAACTGGCTTTCAAATTCATTGCCAACTTTAACTAGCTGTAAACAGCTGTGTTCTTAGTCTGACAAATGAACCAGTCAGCATGTCAAGGCTGAGGACTCTACACTCAACTTATTCCATCCTCACTGATACAATGACTGCTCTCTCCCTTTAGGGCCATTAACGAAGCATTAGACGATAGAAAATACATTAGTATGAATATGATCAATCTCATGATTCATATTCAGATTTCTATGCAGCATTATTCCCTCCCTTTAACCTCTACACTGACAGGTAGCGAAGGGAAACAAAAGTTTTGCTTATGGCTTGAAATTAGGAATGATTGGGTTTTAAATCAGGTATTTTATAAACTGAGTCTTTAATAGGGTCCTCTAAGATTTTCTTGTTTATTTAATATTTCACTCACTATATTACAAGTTTTAGTACAGTTAACAACAAAGATGTGAAGAATCAACAACAAGAAATGTTTGGGATTCGGTTTTTAGTTTTCCTTCCAAAATAGTTGCAACTAGTATTCAGTATTCATTTCCAGGTTTACTCGAGCTCTTTACCATACTCAGAGTACCTAAGTTAGCAGTGATCATGGTTTACGTTTCTATAGAAGCTCCCATCTGTAAATCATAAAGCGTTTTACCAATACTCATGCATTTAACATCCTGGCAATTGGTTCATGCCTACAAGGTTAACACTGTTATCTCCATTTTATAGACAGAAATAGGAGTGAGAATGTGAAGTCCTCCCTTCCAAAGACTCTTGCTCTCGTTCTTAACTATACATGAAAAGTACTGCACATATAGCCAAGGTCTCAAGAAGCAAAAATAAATAAGCAACTGTGAAAAAAGCACTGGTATTTTGAAGAAAATAACTTCTGTCATCTGCACGACAGATGTGACCAGAGGTAGCACCTGATTGTCTATTTCTGACCTACAGATGGTTAGAATCATAGGCACACATAAAAAAGGAATCAGGTAATATTAAAGGCACTTTGATGACTTGTTCCATATGATCCCAACCCTGCAAAGCACTCAGGCAGACGTGTAACTTTTCTTATGCAAAATACACCCCTGAATTGCACAGCATCACGCTGCTCACAGGATGCGTGACCAAAAAGGGCCAATTTTCTGTTCAACTTTTCTTCCCTACTGCTTAACTTGGAATTTCAAATATGAACCTCTTGTAGCATCCACCTGAATGATCTGCTGTTCAATCCTGCTGACTTGTGTGAGACTGTCCTCATCTGAACGTGCAATAAACTCACCACAGGATGAGTGATAGGTGTTGAATATAGTGATAGGTAAGTCTCTGTGCACTTTTCCTAGACAACACAGCAAGACTGTGTATTGCCTTTAAAATAATACAATAAAAAGAAACGCTTGGCAGAGATCCTCCCACATGAATAGTGCTCATTTCTTGATGAAACAAAGTAGTCTCTGGAGATGTACAACACCTTTCTATGTTATTCTGGACTTGGAGAAAAGCATTTTTTCTTACCCTTCGTTTTCAAATCAAACCTCCTTCCTTTTCATTATAGTATGACTTTCCACGTGTTCCAACAATCCTTCCATTCGAGAACGGATCAAAACTGAACTAGAAGCAACTTTTGTAGCTAAAACTAATACAATAGCAATTTTTTTAAATCCTCGGATACAATTTCTGTGTACGTAATTCAAGCAATTCATTTGTGTAAAGGAAGCCCTTAGGGGTACAAATGTCAATCATCTTTTTATCAGAAGTTATAAGAGTTAATTCAGCCTATATTTCATTATTGTACTTGAAATACATTTATAAATGGAACGTTATGAGAATCTCCAAATTTATCCTCTGCTTCGATTGCAATTATCGTAGTTACACAAGTAAAGACAGTGGTCAACATCAGAGTTTCATTTCTCAACATGCACAACTGCAACATGCAATTATTTTTGTATTTTGGATTTCTTTACTTCATAAAACAAGTGAAAGAACTGAGGACTAACTTTCACAAAAAATATTTGTCATTTAAATGGGGGGGCGGGAAGGAGAAGTAAGGGTTTCTTCTTGAAGTTTCAGATAGCAGGACAAGGTTTAAAATACAGCCAACTTCTATTTCAGCTTGAATTGACTTTCCTCCTCTGTGAGTCATGAATCATCACAGCGATGCAAAGTGCAAGAGCAGTGGAGGCATGGGCTTTGGGGTCTCGTCACACTGCAAGTCCTTCTTAATTCAACATAGTTACAAAATAACTACAACTATTCTGAAGTGAAACCTCCCTCCTACACGTTCTCCTGCCTTCTCCTGCACACTACATTGAATGGTTTATTGCTTGCATTGAATCAAGAAAATTGAGAGGGTGGAGGACTCTTTTCAGTAACTTTGAAATAAAAATGTTTAGCTGCACAACTAGATTAATATCATTAAAACGCATGACATTCTGCTGAAGGACAAATTCAAGCTGTGGCTGCCAGAAATATTACTGGCATTTTACTTGCCTGGGCATCCTGGGTGTTGCTGACCTTCCCTGTTCTGACAAGGCAGAAGTTGTATGCAAAGAGCACCAGCAAAGCCAGGGGCACCATGTACAGTTCAACGCTCCATACAGTGACCATGAATACCTGGGAGAAATAAAGCAACAGAAAAGAACACATACAGGTGTTTAAAGAGAATGTGATGCAATAAAGCCTTCCAGCCATTATCCTGATGTACACACATCCTTGAATCTCTGCTAACCTCATTCATTTCTTGTTTTGGCAAAAAAAGAAGCCTGCTTGAAAAGCATACTCATTCTATTCTGTTTGAATCCATTAGGCTGCTATTTGTTTGCTTCTCCTTCCCTTTTTTTGGTGAAGTACAAATCCATGAACATAAGGTTGGTCCAAAGGCATTGTTCACTCCTTTCTGGGACTTGCTCAAGCCTGAAAGCTTCGTCATTAATGCTAGAGCATAATAGGCCCACTTAAACCTGTCCCACTTCATCAAATCCTAATTGCCAGCAAGTCTTTCACTGACTAGAGAAGAGTTTCTTCCTCTTGTGCAACAGGAGCCATCCACCTCTTCAGTCAATCCAGGAGGTATGCTTAGCAAATGGAACTTCACCATTAATCCACTCACTCTTCTTGGCACAGCAATGCAAAGACCTTTGAGAAGGCTCTTGGCTGCATGTGATGCTTTATTTTGAGAAGGAATCCGTAATTCCATTCTCCATTTCCATATACCTGCCATTTTTCAGTAAAGCATATTCTGATTTCACTGGTTGCTTGGGGCCTCTTTATCCAGAAAAGGCATGAGTTTGTGCCTTTGGAGCAACATCTAATAAAACCCACTGACAGCAAAAGTAGAAGCCAACTTTTGAGGTTCGGTTCTGCAAACTGGATCAGTGGAACGTGTAACCATTGCGATGGGGATTTAAAAAGCATTTAACCATTTTTCAAAAACATGATACCAAGCCAAACTGCAATCTTGTCTTACAAATACCAATTATACGCGAACAGACTCCAAACTTTGTGGTTGGAAATGTAAGTTAACAAACTAAATACAGAACTGTCATAAAATGCATGTTGTGATCCCATTTCCTCATCTAAAGATACACAGCATTTTCAGAAGAACTGACTGACGCCGATAGAAACTTTAAGCTAAATCTTAAACAGTCTCCTTCAGAGAGTAGGCACAAAAACATTTATCAGATTTTTCTTCCCCCACATGAGTCTCAGAAGTGATCAGAAACAAGAAGTCACATTTTTGGAAAAATACAGGCAGGTGAAAGCGAGTCAGATCCTCCAGTTAACACATCTCAAACTGTCATGAGAAGGCAACTGAACTTCAGGTGATCAGAAAACTGAATCTCTAGCTCCACTAACCCTCAGCCTGCGACTCTGTATATGAATGCAAGTCTGGCATTTGCAGAACAGGCTATTTATGGCAACATATATAGCATTATGGACCCTGGACTCTACCCACTCCACATCAAAACACTCCTTCCCACCGCATTCCATGGGGAGAATTCGCACCCCTACACAACAGCAGCTTCTGTAACTTTTAAACAAAAAGTCTTGCCTGATATCTGACAATTGTTCAGTTAGCATCTACCAGGGGCCGACCACAAACCAAGAGACAATGACTGTATACGCAGCCCTGCCCAAACAAATGTCACATTTTCTAAAGCCAACCTGATTTTATCTTAACTGTTACTATGCATGGACTTAGACTGTCATCCTGTTATTGGCATCTATAGGTCAGCAAAACAATATTTGAGATATACACATTTATAAAGTGGGTTGCCATCCATGAAATATAAGCCCCATACTACTGATTTGCAGCATGAGAACACAGAAAAGGATTAGATTGTAATTTCTTTTTTTTATCATGCTCTTCAACACATTTACAAATTAGACAATTATACTAACAGTCACATTTCATATGTAAACAAGGTAACAGAAAAACACGAATGCTGGCCAAGAAGATATGATACTTGAACTCTCTTACAGGAGTCTCCAAAAAGTGTGATATCTCAAGATTAAAAAACAATTATTAAGTTATTCCAGTTCCCCCGAATGTTTTGTAAGATCAAGTAAAGGTGATACCAGCTCTTGACCCACCTCAAATAGAATTCTGAAGTATAAGTATCTGTTACTGCACATATCCATCCACATATACCTTGCATTTAAACAGACAGCTAAAATAGATGCACACACTTATACGTCTGATCCTTACGAAAGCACTTCTATGGAAATTCATATCGGTAGATAACTATTTAAAAAATTTGCTTTGGCATGTTGGAGGAGGTTGCATATACATCATCTCCTCAGGGTCTACATGAACTCACTCTTGTCTCAGCACAGCAAAGATTCCACCAGCAGTCAGCTACGCTGACTCCTACAGGAGTCAATGAAGCCCTTGAAGAACCTTTCTTCATTCATTCAAAGCAGGACTTTCACCAATTCTAGTGCATCTGTCACCATCCTATATGATCATCACTCTGCTCTGTTGCAAGTATAATACAACCTTGCAATCACAGGTCATTTAGGCAAGATGGAAAACCAAGACCTTGGTGATTTTAGATCCAACAGTGTATTTTGTGTATTATTAAGTTTCAGGCCCTAAATAAAACTTAAAATTTAATTACAAAATCTCAGCACAGGCTCAATTGATAGCAGAAGCATACTGTTGCTTCCTTTCTAACGCTGAGTGGTTATCAGCTGCTGAGTTGTAATTCAGATGGCAACACTTAGATTGAGCTCCTTCACCTACTTAAGAAGAGTTGCTTTGCTGTTACCATTGTAATAGAGGCAACTTTCATTACTGTTACATAACACAGATACCAGACAAATTGAATTAGCTATTCAAAAATTACTTAGCCTCAGAGGTACGGGAAATGATTGCTGTGAACATACAGTACATAATAAAAATTGAGAGGGTGTTTATACAGTAAATAGATATATTTCTGCATCCTAACAGCCTTTTCAGTAGTTCTATAGCATCAGCCAGTAAAGCAGTTCCTATATAAGAACTGCCCCCTATTTTATGATGTTGGCCCGTGACACCATAGGTGGACGTTGGTATGGCAGTAGAGGTTGAACCTTCCCATCAATATCCTGTTACATTTTGTTGCCATGCAGTCTGACACAATGGCATCTGATGTGGAAGTGCACATAAAGCAAAGGCGTGTCATTGAATTTCTTCATGCAGAAACAAGTTCCACACATGGACATCCATTGATTCTTGCTGAACTTTAATGGAGACCAAACAGTGGATGTGAGCACAATGAGGTAGTGGGTGGTGCTGACAGTGTTATGAAAGACAGCCATATTCTGGATAGCCAAGCACAGCTGTAACATCACAAATATGGGGCATTGGCTTCAATGCATTGGAAATGATAGTGGCAATGGTGAATACTGCAAAGCTTGTGCCAGGTGAGTCCCAAAATGCTCACACAAAACAGAAAGAACACTACATGCAAGTTTGTATTTCCTCCTCAGTAGTATTGGGGAAAAAGAGCTCCAGCCACATCCCTCTTAAATTATTTTCTACCAAAGCCTTTTGTCAAAACTCAAGAATGGTTCAGCTGACATACACAATGGTTATTGCAAGGATTGGTATTTTCCCAACTTCTTTTAGGCCTTAGTCTATCTTCTTGCTAACACATAGGTTGGTAGGGGAAATCATTAACAGGTTCAGATCACCTGTTCACAGAAGTCAAGGACAACATTCAAGAGCCCCTGATCCAAATGATCTATCTGGTTTTAACAATCCATACTTTATTTCTTCTTGTTTCATATCATCGTTAGACCAAATTCTGTCAAATGTAATCCATGACATCACTGACGCCTTTTGTTCTGGGCTTCATACTGTGCATGAGAAAAGTTAAAATGACAGCAGCTGATTTCTAAAATAAACATCAACAAGCAAAAAACTAGCTCTCTGTGTTACATCTTCTAATGCAATTTGAGAACATAAAAGCCTATTATCAAACTGAACAATTTAATTCACGACATTATAAAACAATTATCAAAATAGAAGCAGAAAAGAAATAGACATATCTGGAGGGGGAAAAAAGAAGAGCTCTTGACACTAATATTTAGACTAGAGTTCTACCTAGAAGAGAACATCACAGCCTTGGAGAAAAGACCACTCGATTTTAGCTGATTAATGTGCTGCTATTTCAAAGGGCCTAATAACTACAAGTTAAAGCTCTGGAGGTTTGGAAGCTGTTTCATCTGAAAATCATTGAAGAGGGGTCCAACTGTTCCTGTCAAGAAGCATGGAGTTTGAACAACCACGAGAGTGGCCCTTTTGACAGCAGTACAAAAGATGAGAGAAGGCAATCTCAACTGAAAGTAAAAACAAACCTTTAGAAACACATTTCAAATCTGGTTTTTCTGCCCCTCTGGTTCCAATTTAGGATCTGACTATTAAGAACAGATTTTAGACGGGTGTCTACTAAAGTATGCCCATAAAACATTTGTCACCAGCAAACCCACAGTCAAGGGATAGAATAGTTTTAAGAGGTTTAGAAACCCAGCATTAAATGGGATTTTCTGTGCATTTTTTCTACATTTTAATTACATCTTTTTTTTTTTTTTAGTTTAAAAAGAAAAAAAAAAAGGATTTTCCTGGCCTAGTAAGTCTTTCTAGAGAAGTAGCAAATGCTACGTTGTTTAACGGAATAATTCCTGAAAAACAGCAACGGTGGGAAAAGGAGAGGGATGCATTTCATCAGATGGAAAAAATAAAGTGAAAGGAGATTAAATGCATGCAAGAAGCCTATGGTAAGAGGTTATTTTCTCAGGCAGCGTAGGTTCCAATGCTAATGAAATGCCTCATCAGTGCAACTGTGAAAAATATTATTTAAAACTTCAGGTTTCAAAACCACACACAATTTGACTGAACTCTAAATGACTAACAGCTTTGACAAAAGTTTCCTCTCCATTTATAAATGTGGCCTATGCAATTCAGGAAAAGTCAAGAGAAACAAATGAGCTAATGGTACTGCAAGTTATCTGTTCTCCACCAAATCAAAACACTGATTTTGATTAGAGACATAAAGACACATTTTCCTTCATTCACAGGGAAGAGAAATTAGATATTTCTAACTTGTCTCAGAGTCTTCACAAATGGA